AAAAAATCCAACGACGTACAAGTAAAATGTTCTTAATGTTTCTAAAAAGAAAAGCAATCGCTATATATCTGCAATTATTTATGTATGTACGTTCAGTAAACGTATCAATTGATCAAGGAAAGTGAAGAGCATCGAAGGCGTGACTTGTTAAATGAAATCGCATCGACTGTTTCACGTGAAGCCGACACGTTTGATCGGTTCTTTCTTGTGTCGCTTCGCTAAAAGTGAAACCTCGTGACGAAAGTAGGCAAACGGGAGGAAACCGGAAAGCAGACGTTGTTTAGTGAGAATGTTCCTGGTCAGTTCATCAACATGACTTTGACGTCGAAGTGTCCCATTTCTGCCGTATAGCGCGAGAACAGTGTTCTCAAAACTTTAACCGACTTTAATCTTAACGGTAAACTTTTTCAACAAACCCAAAATCGATATTTACTCGGGGAAAGTTACGAAAAGAGTGCCATAATCTATTGGCTTCATCATACTTAACATTAAATATTTTTCTTAATAGAGTTCTCAAATTAGAATTCCGCAAAATTAAATTCGGAGACTCTATCATTACAATAAACGGTGAACATTTTGTTTCCACAGTCGTGATGCAACTGGAAGGGGATCGTCCGAATAACTCGCATCTCACCAAATGATTTAGCACGATTATCTGCAGTGCAATGTAACGTAGAAAGCTGCATGAGAGAGAAAGTTGTAATGCATAGGAAGTTACATATACACGCGGCACGTACAAAACCGTTTGATAGCGTACAATGTAATCAGATCAAAAATTAAATATATTATTAACGTAATTGATTATGTAAAGTAATAACGCGTATTATTGAGTACTTGTTATAACGTAAAAATAGATATAACAATTATATAATGCTAGAGGCAACTAGAGGCATCGATAACGTTAAATTATAAAATACAAGTTTGCAATTCAAATTGTAGCATATGTACCAAAAACAACATTCTATATAGTATCAAAAATAACTTCTTGTGTATGGCAAACAACTTGTTTCAAGAAGAGAATCCTGTTCTTGTAATAAAAAAGGGATGAAGGTTATCTTCTGTGATCGTTCATTCTCTCTTCAACTGCAAGGTAGAAAATAGCACTACCATATAAAGCTACGAGTAATACACAAACTAGTGATTTAAAGTAATATATTTATATATTGACTGAGCATTAAATAAACTGTAAATCAATTGATAACTTGATAAAAATCGATAGTTTGATAACTTATATTAGCAAATAATTTCTCGAATTATTTTCGAGAAAATAATAAAAATAATTATCAAGCGATATTATTATTTTTGTAATAAATAAATAAGCCACTTTAAATCAATCGGTAAAAATTGTATCAATATATCATTATCAATTGTATCATTATATACACGGAACATTAAAAAAAAAAATATATATATATATGTATATATAAATATTATTTATACTTGAGATACACAATTTTCATAAAAATTTTAATTTATTAAAAAGAAAAAAATATTAATGTACAGAAAGGAGAGACATTAATCAATTTTTGAGAATTTGTAAAATTAGAATTAAAATAATAACAGTTCAACTGAATAAAATAATATTAATGAATATAACAAAAATGGAAGAAGCTTACCTTTAAGAGCCCATAATTCTTCATTCTTTAGAGCATCGATGTATGTCGTAATGTCTTTGCCGCATTGTACTCCGACCGGATACTTTCCTTCGATCCAATTTCTTACTAAATTACGCGCACTAAAAACATCCAACATCTCCGACAGGCTGGTCCAATTTTTTTCAACTACATTGATCGTCATTGGCAAGCTTCGTACTCGAAGAGTCGGTTCCTCAGTTGCGTTGTTCGGAATATTTGTAGATATTTCTTCGGCATAGATAGAAATATAGTTCGCGGAAAATATGAGTAAAGTTAGGAACGGCAGATGCATTGTGCTCCCCATATTTATCTCATAAATGTTCACAGAAAAAATGTATTTAGCGTTTACAAAAAATTTGAATGAAATTCACTAGCTCCACATAATCGGTATTTAGGCAAATCTTTGAAATCGATTGTCAAGATCAGTAAAAAATTTTCTCTTCTTTTAGCAGTCGGTCTTCTTGATTTACTGATAGACAAAAATTCACAAAATATTTAACTTTGAACAAATAAAATATTGATTTTCTGTCAGGATGCTCGTAACATTGCAAGAAATATTATTAATTTGTCAAAAAAACTTGCGTATTTATTTCAGCATTTGGACGATGGAATCCTTAATCACGTCTAAACAAGACCGCGTTATATTTGCATCTTCACTTCTGAGTTGCCTATCAGAGAATCCCGATAATGCGACTTTTTTAAGTTCATGATAACTTTCAGACGTTTATGATGTTACGTCCGCTCTTAGAAAGAAAGAGAAAAAAATGAATACAAAAAAGATGCTCGACTACGTGCTTTCTTCAAATGGATGCTTCTGTCCTGCTGGATGATCACGGATCAACTGTATGGACCGGTTGTGGTCCGACCAATGGTTCTGAAATGTTGTCGCGGTATTATAATGAAAATGATGGTGGGGCGAAGCCTTCCTGTGGAGTGAAAATCGAAAACCTTTAGAGTGGTGCGCGAGACAGTGCGAGCTCATCGACACGTGCGTTCGCGTGCGTTCTAGTCATTTAACATTTAGAGAGACTTTTCTCAGTCAATTAAGATTAATTTTACGATTTACAATTAAGATTAATTTTTTTACGATTTTATCTGGAAGTAATTGAATAGCATAACTAAGAACTGCTTTTCATGTATATGAATCTTTGATAAAAATCGCATTGATTTGTTGAAGAATTCATTATTAAAATTCATAATCTTACGGTCGATAGACGTTTTTCACATGTGGAATTCAATTTATCTATTGTTAAAATGCTAAAGAAATCGACTAAAATTTGCGTAATCATTGACAAAGCAATGTATTTCGTCTTTTATACAATCTCATGTAAAGATGGAATTCTTTTAAATCTATTTCATCTCAAAACTTCCACTTTGAAAAGAATAAGTCTGCATTTATAAATTTTTTACATTCGAGAAATTTACACGTGTATAAATGAAATTCCTGGAAATTGTGCGTTATTACTACATTTTAAAAGCATAAGAACGTTGCACAACGTTGCACGTTAATTTCGATCTCGCATGTAACGTTATCCGGTAAGAGCTGGTGTTTAGTTTGAAAAAAATGTATCTGATTAGTATCATATATTATCAGTTTTAATTGAAATTAGTATTACATTGATTCCGATTAAAAATTTTTACGAATATTAAAGCTGTATCTTTTTGATAAATAAATAATACATATACATGAAGTAACAGTTTCGTAATTTTATGTTTAGACGACAAAATGTAACATTATTCTAAAACATTTAAAAATAAGTCATAAAATAGAGACCAAAGATATTTTTAATTAAAAATTGATTTACGATAACTATTTCCCATCTATTTCAATTAGCTGGTGCTAAAGTAGCTGGTGCTAAAATACGAGAAACAAAATACAGTACATGCTGTTTCCGATTATGAATTGCAAAATTTTCAGCATCGTTTCGCATGACTTCGTGTTGGATTAATGATGGACCCTAGAAGTTTCACTGTGAAATTTCATATTATTAGAGGATGTCTTCTCTTTCTCTCTTACTAATTCTTTGACAAACTATCATTGGTTGTTCAGTCATGCTGAAACTTCTTTCTTCTTGAGACTCTCTGACGATGTTATGAACATTACTCGTAATGTCGAAAAAAATGAAAAAAGAAATCTTTTTTAAACATTATTACTGCGGGGTGTTTAGATCGATCGTATTAATCATTCATTTTCCGTAATAAGTAGTTTCTAAAAATAATTTTCTCAATACCTCCAATAATTATAGAATATTTTCCATAAACATTTCAATTTACAAACATGTTATACATCAATGTATAAGAAAACATTTAGCATTACTTATGAAGAAAATGGTAATGGTCTACTGCGTTTTTTTATGCAAATACTCATTGAAAAATAAAGAAATGAAAAACCACATAGTATTACAAGCATTTTAATAAACTATAATTTGCTTATGCAAGAAATACGATTTAGAACTATACACGCCTTTAAAAAAAGATTATGCAATTTGACTTAATTATGTTTCATTCATAATCTTTGAAAAATACGTCTCACTGCAAACATTTAATATTCTTAATATTATACTTTTACAATTAATTTTTTATGTAATATTAACAGGTATTTTTGTAAACAATTTATTTATTTATATATTTTATATATAAAAATGTATATTTTCTACATAATAATATATGATATAATAAGCATAAGCAGTATCAATTTTAAAGATAAATTTTAAAAATCAAAATAATCTATACACCTATGGAAAAAAGACATTTTTTAAATTAGTTTTTTTTTGTCAAACATTTTTTTGAGATATATCATATTTATTGTATATTCATATCATATTATATAATGTTAATATAATTATTAATTAATTTATATTGTTTTTTTTTAATATGTATATCAATACATATCTATTTCTCTCCGGTTCCTTAAAATACGTGATGTGCGATGTGCGTAATTATTTTTGTTTTATTTTTATTTAACATTCGGTGAACGACAAGAATAAAATGATACATTATGCGCATTATTCATTTGATAAAATACAGCCTTTATATGCATGTGCATTGTTGTCACTGCATTTCGACTGTTTCCAGTCGCATAATATTTGTATTTTATTATACCTATTCAATATAAGTATATGATAAAAAGAGATCACTTTCCTAGATAAAATAACAATCTCGCACATCTTAAATCGCATTTGTTTCAATATTTCATTTAGCGTCATAACATTCACTAACATTTTATATTATTTTCCTATTGTTTTAGAGTTGATAATATAAGTTGGGTATTAATATAAGTCAAAAAAAATAATGGGAAAGCAATATATAATAAAATGTTAGCAAATGTATAATATATCCAAATAAAATGATAATAAAATAATGATACAATAATATATTATTAAATGTTAAAGAATATAGATATTTAACATTCGTAATAAAAACTTAATGTTCTTAATGAAACTTAATGCATTCCTCCAGTAACTTCAATAGATGCTCCGTTTACATAAGAACTCTTATCAGAAGCTAAAAATGCAATAACCTCTGCCATTTCTTGTGGTTTTCCCATTCTTTGCAATGATACATTTTTTATAAATAATTCTTTAACTTTATCCGGCACAGTCATAGTCATAGAAGTATCTATAAAACCGGGCAGTACTACGTTCACTCGAATACCAAATCTGTAGAAAATGCAATATATTTATCTCTTCATTTAGAAATATTTTAAATAAAGTAATCGTGATGTATTGGATCATCTAAAAAGTATCCGCGGTTTTTAGATGACCCAATATATCTAATACATACTGTCCAAATTCCATAGAAGCGCTCTTTGTCATAGCTACAACTCCAGCTTTGGATGCACTGTAATTACTTTGTCCAATATTCCCATTTTTACCAACAATTGAACCGATATTGATAATCGAGGAATCTTTGGTTACATTTGCTTCTATCATTGCTTTGACTGCAGTTTGCATAACTAGAAAAGTACCTTTTAAATTGACATTGATTACATCGTCAAAATTATTGTCACTGAGTTTGACTAAAAAGTTATCTCGTGTAATGCCCGCTGAATTAACAATGACAGTAGGTGGTCTTGAAAATTGCTTCAAGACATGTTTAAATGCTGTCTCCACACTGTTCCGATCAGTGACTTGAACATCCAATGCAGTATGTCCGGTACCTACAATAGTGAATAAGATATTAATAAATATTGAAATAACTAATGTAACAAATAATTATAGAGTAAAACAGAATTGTTCAGTTAAAAATAAAATAGATATAATTTAAATTAATTGAAATTTTATAAATACAAAGATATAATAATTCTGTATATCGGTTTCCAACCTCAAATTAAAAAAAAAATTGATAGAATCATATAAACCTTCCAAAGTGGTTACAGTTTCCGCAGCAGTTTTGATATTTTGATCAGTTGCAACAACGATAGCGCCTTCTCGAGCAAAAACTCGACATACCTCTCTTCCAATACCGCTTCCAGCACCTGTAACATAATTGAAAAAGTCAAAATTGTGATAGATTTCAAGATTATATTTATATGAATATTTCACACATTGTATTATTTATCTGACATAAACTTTTTTTACATAAATATAAGGAAAGAATAATGAAATTGTAAAATGTTAACATAAAATTTTGATATTATTATTATTATTACTAAAAGATGTTTAAGACATTTAATGTTAAAAATTAAAAAACTGTAAGAAAATTACAAGTTTCACATATTTATAAATATAAGTATAAATATAAGCAATATTTTTATATGATCCTTTTAATTATTAAAATATTAAATAAAACAAATATTAAAACAAATAATCGACTTTATATTTCCGTAATAATTTTTAAAATTTCAGAAATAAAAAATCTATATAATATTTCACATATGTTTCGTTCAGTAGTATATTGTGTTTATTATAAGCAATACACTGTGTAAATATCGATCGAGCAATGTGAGGAGAAACTTCATTTCGCGTGAAAAGTTGAAAAATTATGTACTATGGAATCGTATACGTACAGTTATATATATATATATATATATAAAACTTATCTTCTTAATAAAAATTTTTCATGCAAAACAAAAGGTTCATTTTATTATAAAATATCTTTTTATTGCATAGAGACATCAATTATGTTACATTTACATATTATTACATTTCGCTCATTATTTTATAACGCATGCTCTATCTTTTGTTTTTCATCGGTATAACAGATTTCCTAACCTTTAAATACGTACATCTCTCCTTAGTCATTTAGTCCTTTTCCTCATGTACCGCTAATACAATGTCATCCACGTAACGAAAATAAAACGATACCTTAATGTTATTCTTGGTAATAATTTCGTGTTCTAAATCTTGTAAAACAATATTTGCCAGTATCGGAGACAAAGAATTCAGAATTGATAATGTTCTAACGAAAGTTACGAATTCAGAAAAAATTCATTCAACACACAACATTAATATTGCTCCGGACGGTTTTAATGAAATATTTAATATATGTAACACTAATGAAAAATGGCTGAAAAATCTTAGCAACATTATGATACCGGAAAAAGCAAAAATTGTATTACAACTAGGCCAACATTTCAATTTACCGAACAATATGGTTAACAAGAACAACATTACACAAGAATTTATAAAACACGTAGAATACAGTCTTTTTAAAGCCGACGACGAAACGCGAAATTATGTCAGAAATGAATCCATCCGTATCATGAAATCAATTAAGAAATGTGATATTAAATCTTTTGAGAACATTGTTTTGCAAGAGGGTGTAGGGGAGGTCAAATGATTCATCTCAGAAAATCCGGAATTATTGATTACTAGAGCGGACAAAGGAAATACCACTGTAATTATGTGACGGAATAGTTACAAAGAAAAAATCTTTGAGAATCTCAACGATCGCACTACGTACGAATTAATGAAAAATGATCCTACAAATAAAATAACTGCGGGGATTGTGAATTTACTGAAATTTTGGAAGAATAAAGGTTATATCGATTCAAATTTATACAAAAAATTGCATGTTGCTGTGTAAATATCGATCGAGCAATGTGAGGAGAAACTTCATTTCGCGTGAAAAGTTGAAAAACTATGTACTATATATGAATATTTCACACATTGTATTATTTATCTGACATAAACTTTTTTTACATAAATATAAGGAAAGAATAATGAAATTGTAAAATGTTAACATAAAATTTTGATATTATTATTATTATTACTAAAAGATGTTTAAGACATTTAATGTTAAAAATTAAAAAACTGTAAGAAAATTACAAGTTTCACATATTTATAAATATAAGTATAAATATAAGCAATATTTTTATATGATCCTTTTAATTATTAAAATATTAAATAAAACAAATATTAAAACAAATAATCGACTTTATATTTCCGTAATAATTTTTAAAATTTCAGAAATAAAAAATCTATATAATATTTCACATATGTTTCGTTCAGTAGTATATTGTGTTTATTATAAGCAATACACTGTGTAAATATCGATCGAGCAATGTGAGGAGAAACTTCATTTCGCGTGAAAAGTTGAAAAATTATGTACTATGGAATCGTATACGTACAGTTATATATATATATATATATATAAAACTTATCTTCTTAATAAAAATTTTTCATGCAAAACAAAAGGTTCATTTTATTATAAAATATCTTTTTATTGCATAGAGACATCAATTATGTTACATTTACATATTATTACATTTCGCTCATTATTTTATAACGCATGCTCTATCTTTTGTTTTTCATCGGTATAACAGATTTCCTAACCTTTAAATACGTACATCTCTCCTTAGTCATTTAGTCGCTTAATTATATTAATCTTAAATAGAGTAGCGAGTGGTGATGTTTATTTTTTAAATCTTTGTTTCTATACACAAAAAGATATTAAATGAGTATACACTCTCACCTAAATATGATATTAAAATCATTGTATCTTTTTAAACATGATTCAACATTATCAATAAATAAACGCTGAAGCCTGAAAAATATATCAAATCTTCTGAGTTGTTAAATGCTAACAATTAATTTGATATTTACGATACAATTTATGATATAATTAAAATATTATATAAACAAAATGATTATAGAAAAAATGGTAGAATATTTAAAATTAATTTTGTTAGTCTAATTGAGTTATGAATTTATTAATTTGTTAATCTAATCAAGTTACGAGCTAATATCAATTAAAAATTAAGTTTCAATAAAATATAAAAAAGTAATTTTAGTTAAGTTATCAACTTCAATATAAAAAAAAAAACTGCACGAACCGGTAACAAATGCCAGTTTTCCAGCTACGAGCTTCGACATATTGTAGGTATAATTGGAAGGTCTCGTATAAACAAGGCGCTAAACACTGAGTTATCATTTAATCTTTGTTATAAAATGGCCTCCGCTCCTTCCTCGGAATCGATTCAGCATTATTTAAACCCGGTTATTTCATTTTTTTAATTTATCTGTTGGGTAAGTAGCAAAATTATCCAATCACACGCGCGGATTGCCAGATATTTACTTAATTGATAAAATTTACTAAAAGGTGGAACAATCGACCCTTAAAATATCGCAAAGATATTTAAAGCTGCGTATACATAGTGAATAATTAGCAGATATTCGGATACATATTTTATTTGTAAATATAAGCCATTTAATTCTTGAATTCCTTCATTCCATCAAATGTCAGCACTCAATCAGATTCAATATTCGTTGCATATAACAATCAAACTTATGTGATTTATTTGTGCAATAAATACGAGTAACAACGAACTTTCGTGTTTCTGTAAATTCGTTCAATGTTCATTGCAGTCTTGCCAATACGTTGAGATCTTTTCTTAAGCCTGGTGTCTACAATATTAGAAATCAGTCTGAAGTCTCATAAAGGTAGAGTTGACCAATCGTATTGATCATGTAATTGAATTGTTCAAATGTGATTTGTTAATTCTATCCGAGATCTCGGATCGATTTCTAGCATTGTGGGCACAAGCTTTACAGGGGCACCAAGGGGGACATCTGAAATTCTACATAGAAATTCTATTATAGTTTATATTATATATAGAAATATTTTAATAATTATATTAATAAAGAATTTATTATTAAAACTTTAATATATTGGGTCATCTAAAAAGTATCCGCGGTACTTTGTCACTAGATATATGACCAACACATCTAGTGACAAAAAACCGCGGATACTTTTTAGATGACCCAATATTTTTAAAAGAATATAAATTAATAATCTAAATTATGTAATTTGTAGGAACTGACCAATCATAGTCGATTATTCCTCTTTCATTTGATTGTGATTGGTTAATTCTTACAGATTATGGCCAATATAAATGATCCTATATTCAGAGTAATGACACGAAAATAATTCACATCTTGTTAATTCGAAGTCAAGGTACAAAAATAAATAATAATCTGTCGGCAAAACTATAATGGAAGAAACCAACAGCGAGCATTTATTTAATTGTTGAGAATGCGCCAATTGAATACCATCGTATCGTCGTACGTCAGATGTTTACGCACTGTGCAGTGTGAATGCATCATTACAGTTTTACGCATGCGTCGTATATTGAGTATATTGGAGCATACTGGAGTACACCGTTGTTCTGTGATTCTGAGGAGTTTATTCCAATTTATTCTTTATTCTATATTCTCCCAATATTGAAATAATGTCTATACAAGGAAAGAGTTTTGGTAAGAACATGATATTTTGCTTTGTATGCTTCGATTATAAAAATTGAATAACAGAAATCAAATTAAGAAATCTGATTAAAAATATATTTGGTTTTACTCTCATATCTTACATTTTGATGAAAATATGCTTAATCATTAACGTTTTGTGTGTAGAATAAGAACTTTAAACAGTACTCACTTAAAATCGTAAAAATTGTAATGCATTTAATGTGATAGTCCTTTTAGGTTAGGAAATTTCACAAATATAGACGAGTTCCACAGTCTACGTAAATGTATATAACACTATGGTTGCTTTTTTTTAAAAGACAATCTACACAAATGTCGTTCTATCATTCTATTCAATGAAATAACAAACATGAAACAATATTTTATATTAACTATTTCCTAAAGAAAAGCAGCCTATATCTCATTACAGTAAAATACTGATTTCCTGCAGAAATATCCCTTTAATTAACATGTGTATCTATTTTTGTTTTTTGAATTCTGTTATGTGCATAAAAAATTATTTATTGAGTATATTTTTATAAAATCTGAGATAAGATTAAATCAGATATTTACTCTAAAAATTTTGCTAAAATTTCATAACATAAGTTACTGGAATAATATGACTTTAAGGTATATAAAATTTTTCTGTTATATGATAGTTTCTACAATAGAATCAAGAAGACATTTACTTTTAATGTCAATCAAAAATCCAATCTTCAATAAGTTGCGCCTAAACTGAATTGTTGAACATCATTATAAAATATCCATTGGAAAGATGTAGACTAAGCTGTACATAGAATTTTAGATCTGTAAGTATGAATTTTGGATCCATACTGAATAAAAGAAATGAGGATATGCATTTTTGTATTCATATTTTAAGGAAAAAGAAAATATCTGAGCTGCATTTACAAAAAAATTGAGATTAGCAACTGAATGATAATGAGATAAATTATCATTGTTATCTGCCTCTATCTGTAATAATTAATTTATTTTTTTTGGACACTAATCGATTTCGATATTGAATAAGAAATAGAAATTTGCTAAATTTCTTATGGTGAAAAATTAATTGTTTTTTATTTAGCTGAATATTATCTATTTCTAAAAGAAAATATATGGAATTGGAACATAATATTTGTTATTCTTACTTTTTTAATATAATGAATCGTTTTTTTATTAATAATGGCATCACAGTTATATTTTTTGGTAATGATAAGGAATATAATCACTATTTTTATCTTTTTTTTTTTACTTTGAACGGAATTGTGTAGAATGTGCATGTGTGTATATATATATATATATATATATATATAGATAGTGTGGTGTGTGTGTGTGTGTGTGTGTGTGTGCGTGCACGCGAGTTTTAAAAGAAAAAAGTGATATGATTTAACCATGATATAATTACCATGCCATAGATCTCGTGTTTGCGACATAGACAATCAAATGTGTGCCTCTCTAAAAAAAAGATTATAAAAATTTAATGAAAAAGTAATTCGATACCTTTTGAATAATAAAATCAGTGAATCAACTAATTATGGCATTTTTTTAAATTGAGTATCTTTTTCAGGTAGATTTTTAATAATAGAAATCAAAACATGATCTATTTGTCTAAATATCGGAATAACTGAATTGTATTTTATTTCATTGGATTGGATCCAATATAACTTACTATCCAATATAACTTAAATTTACTTTCTGATTGAGAAAACTAAAATTGAAACTGCTTTATCAAAAGGTAGGAAGCTTTATATGTTGAAATTAATTAATTAACAGATTAATTAGAAATTAATCCATTGTGACTCATCCATTAGAAGTGATCCTTAAATTATCATTCAAATTGTGTATCTTTTTTTTGTTTTAGGGTAAGACTGGTCAAATGCTGATGCTTGTTTTCTGACATCTTTGGAGGCATTCTTTTAATAAGCACCAGTAAAAGTTCTGCGATTATTGATCGCATAAAAAGAAAATTGAAACATTTTCCAAATTCCTGTCTTTTGATTATTTGAATTCACTTTCCGAAATATTTTCAATGTTATGCAGCGCGTTAATTCGATTTCTTTCGAATTCGGTTCATAAAGGAGACATTTAAAATTTCTTTCTGAATGTTCTTGGATTATTTATGACGTCACTCGGGTCATTTATAACGAGGTATATTATAACGAGGTCATCAAATGCATTTCGAAGAACTCGAGATTTTTAAAAATATTTTATTAATTTTTAATAAAAAATTAGAAATATAAAAGTTACTAGTCAGCGTAATGATTATAAGAATAATTATTCCCAAAATATAATTACTGTAGTAAATGAATTCGCAAAAATTATGAGATTGTCATATATATATGTTTATACATATAAACGTGTATATATTAGCAAGTATTGATTTTGCCCAGGTATGCTGTCCCTGGTTCTTGAACATTCTCCAATTGTCAGCCCTGATATACCTGACGGGGCAGGAGGGCTTACGTAGGTTGCCCAGCCAATAAGAGATCGACTTTCCGTTGTCACGGTGATAGTGCCGTAAGCTTCTGACGTCAAAGCGTACTTATAGTGACGTCAGAGAACGCGCTACGTGAACGGGCAAGTGTGTTTACAGAAAAATTGAACTTGAACCTGCTCATGAACTTGAATTTGTAGTGCAGTTTAGTGCTGAGATTGTTGCCGATCGAATGAATGATCGGATAATCGGCACTGGCAACGCAATACTGCCTCGTCTCTTTCAAGTGTGGCCGATATTCGAAAGCCATGAAACGATGTGACGACGTAACGAGGTCTAAATTTAAATGCTTCATCGAGCGGATACGCGTCAAGATTCGCAGCGAAGTGTTATACCTGCGAAGGAACAATAGTCGAGACTGTGCCGAGAACTAATAACAGAATACATGATTTTTAAGCGTTTTGCTAGACTCATTCCGGAATTACTTAAACTTTGTAGTACGAATGGAGCCATGTATTATCCGATCGATCGGGATGGTTAATATTCGCAATCGGAAATTTTCACGATTCTGGCGATTTTCGAGTGATTACTTCATTTTCGCTAATTCTCGGTGTGTTAATCGCAATATTTTCAACAACGGTGGTGAAAAGGGACGAAAAAGAGAGGGTGGAAAGAAAGGGCAATGGGGAGAGGGAGAAGTATGGGCACGTGAAGAGGTCAAGGTGACAGGAGGGGGAATCATTGCGAAGGTCACGAACAGCACCGGCGCACCACTGACCTTTAAAAGCTGCGTATCGTTTGTTCCTGCTACAGTTCGGTTTTGGAGCTTTTAGAAATCAGACTGAGCTTATACATCACACGCACGCGATCCACTCAACGCATGACTGTCAAGAATAAAAGATTACATCGCTGACCAATTTTCAGCGAAAAATAAGGGGTAAGGAACTAAATGAAAGATATATAAGAATGTATATATATGTTTTATTTTATTTTATTTTATTTATGTTATTTTATTTATATATTTTATATATAATTAAAATAATATATATATAGAGAGAGGGGGAGAGGGAGAGCGGGAAGAAAGAGAAAAAAATTGTGATGTGATAGTTGCAAAAGATAATAGTCAAATTTATAGATAATTTATAGATATAGGTATTTTGGTTAACAAGAAAATGTAATATGTTGCATATTGTTATGTGATTGCAGGAATTTGATACGTGCAAGGTACAACAAGAAATATAACGAAGAAGAGTGATAACATATGTGTGAGAAGACAACATCTGTATAGCGAAAAGCACAATACGAGCAAATAATAACAAAAGAAAAAAGGGAAATTAAAAAATTAGTATATAGAGGAACAGTGAGCAAAATAGAGCGATTTAGAGCTTTCTTGAGAGGAGTGTGTAGGTGTTTCCAAGATAATGACAATAAAGATAAACAACTCTTTTCAAATGAAAAGATACAACGGAAAGTTACGATTTGCGAACCTCCTAGGAAGTTTCGACGGCGTATGTCAAGAAAGACCTGGTATGCTAAGCAACTTAAGATGGCTTATAAGAGGAGAATGCAGATGATCGAGTCTGATGAACTCTATAACAGTCTAGAAATTGAAGAACCGACAGTACCATTACCGACAGCAGCAAATATGATGATAGAGCCTGATAAGTTTGACAATCTAGAGATAGCAATCCCGTCAACATCAACAACAAGCTATCCACTATCACGATCCACGATGTTACACAGAGAGCTTCAAGATGCTGTCCAAAATGAAGATAGAATGAACGAGTGCAATGGATACGACAGTCAACAGATTGTAGAATCAGTTCCATCAACATCAACTGCAATCCATTCAGATTCGTATCAATCCCTCATTCAAGAGAAAAAGTCGTTGAAGTTTGAAATAGATAACATAGGAAAAGTTATGACATGTTGTAAAACTGCTGTTAATCGCTGGCTATCTGTTTTAGATGAAGAATTTCCTGAGAAAGAGTATTTACAAGAATATGAGGAAGGAGCTGATAAATTACATGAATTGCAATGTATAGAAATAGAACTTGAAAATAAACAGGAAAAAATAGAGGAATTGGAGAAATTAAGAAAAAAAGCTGAAGAAGCTAAGAAGAAGAAAAAGATATCTATATTAATGATACACCTCCCAAATAGTCAATATACCACTATAGAGGTAAAGGAAGGACTTACTTTAAGGAATGCAGTATCAAAAGCTATGGAACGTCGGCAATTGATTTTGGATGACTGTGCAGCTTATATTAAGCAACGTATGACATATTTTATTTCTTGGGATACAGACATATCAACTTTGCCGTGTAAGGAAGTGTTTGTGGAGTACCTGGAAACATTTCCTGTTCCAGTTTTTTGGACTCATAATTTTGCGGGTACCAAAGTTTTGTTAGGTTACTGTTATGTTTGTGGAAAGAGTGTTCTTTATGGATTTATCTGCAAAGCATGTAATAGAAAATTTCATACAAAATGTGTAAGTTATGCGTCTCTACTCTGTGAACATATACGAAGACGAACAGCTTATTATGAAAGATTATTGGCTAATAATCCAACTACAGGAATTATTCAAATTCCACCAGTACCCGTACCGAGTATTAGTTCAAGGAGACGAATTAAAAAACCTGTTCAGGATATTGAACCAACCACAATTGATAAGACCACTCAAATCACTACAAGGACAAAATTTTTACGATATCCTAGAAGAAACAAAAGACAAAAATCAAAGGACCAAGATGATTCATGTGCTGATGATACAGAATCTGAAGATAGTATTTTCAGTCAAGATTCAATAAGAGATTTTAAAATTGTAGCGGATGAAATTACGTATGAAGACGATGATGAAAAGGGAAAGGGAACTTACGGAACTGTGTATAAAGCTGATTGGTATGGACCTGTGGCCGTGAAAAGACTTAATATTGAAGTTCCTACAGAACTAGAAATAGAAATGTTCAAAAATGAAGTGAATGTTTTACGTAAAATTCGGCATATGCATGTGTTATCATTTATGGCTTGTATTGTTAAACCTTATTTAGCAATTATTACGCAATGGTGTGAAGGAAACTCTTTATACCATCGTCTGCATGTCGCAGAGGACGAATTAGAAATGATTACAATTGTGATAATTCTTAAACAAATTTCAGAGGGCATGGACTATTTACATGCCCGAAATATTCATCATCGGGATTTAAAAAGTAAGAATATTTTTTTTCATAATGGACTTCACGTGAAGATTGGTGACTTTGGCCTTGCAGTAATGAAGAGCCGACAACCGAGAAATAATAGAAGAGATGAATTGGACGAAAAGGACGAAAGGGATGAAAAGGATGAAAATGACGAAAATGATGAAAAGGATGAAGAGATTGAAAAGGGTAAAAAAAATAAAAAGGTAGGCACTGATGACAAGATTAAAAAGACTAAAAGGACTACTACAAAAACTAAAAAAGAGTTAGAAGAAGAGCTAGAGAACCAGCTAGCTGGTTCCGTTCGTTGGATGGCTCCGGAAGTTTTAAGGTTTAAAGAAGACTATCCATATAGTTTTCAATCTGACGTGTATGCATTTGGTATAGTAATGTATGAATTATTTGCCCGTGATTTACCGTATGGTTATAAAACCGATAAACTGTTTATTTTATATAATGTAGGACGTGGTGGTTTAAAACCTGATGAAAAAAAAATACGTTCTGATACACCTAAAAAACTCGTAAAACTTTACAATCAATGCATCGAGTTTGAGAAAGAGAAGCGACCATTGTTTCCCTATATTTTAAGGCAAGTGTATCATGTTTTCAAAGCTACACCGAAAATAAGAAGAACGACTTCTTTACCATTAAAGACTGACGTGTTAGCAGATACCTATATTGAACGAGCTGACGATGTTCAAGACTTTCTCACATCTGACGCTGACGATTATGATGATGAAAAAGCTGATATCGATGCTAACATTAATGCAAATGTAAGCGTTAGCAATAGTGCTAGTGTTGTAGATGTTTTTGCTGATTTTTAAAATTGACAACAGATAGTGAACTAGCTAAAATTGGAACAAGAATAGCTTCCTTAAATAATGTATTTACAATGGAGAATAAAGATATAGAGTTCAGCAATGAGTAGAACTGCACATGCATTAAGCTTTTCTCTCTGTAAATCTCGTTCTCTCCAGCGATTGGTCACGTAGTCGGCCGCCAGGGGAAAGTGAGATATTCATCGCAGGCGCAGTTTGAACTCTGTATCAGAAAAGGACAGCATTTTTGCTCCAATTGTCACAAGTCCTGCTGCGCCTTTTCCTTCAGCGATTGGCCAAGCAATTGATAGAAGAAAGGAAGAAGTCTAGTGCAGTTCAATCTCACTATCTCAGAGTTAGAAAGAGAAGGTAAGCCTATCATAGATTTCTTTCTCTTTCTAAAGTAAGTAAAGCACATGTGATCGAATGCGCAGTTTGTTCTTATTACGGGTCTAGCAACGTATAAGTTTATTATTTTATTTTTTTTTTAGAAGTTTAAAGAAAAAAATCTTTGTAAAAAATGATATATTGTATATATGTGTATATATGTGATGTAGCATATATTGATTTTGTATAAGCTTTACGAATAGGGAACTGGACCGAACTGCGTCTTAAACCAATTACCATTAATAAAATCCAATCAACATAATAAGAAACAAATACGTATGATAAGTGTTATAACTCTTATACACAGGACGCAGAAACGCTTGTCGTGCGGCAAGATCGAAATGATTTTTTATATCTTCTTTGTTTTATCTCAATTATATGCTCATTTTGATTCTTTTTTCATATCTTAAGATGCTGTAATATGTATTCATTGTCAAGCAGAACAGTTTGATCTGAATATAATAGTACAACGATTAGTTTTTAGCTGCTACTCTGTTCTGCTTTTCGAATGTAATATGGCCTAAGATAATTGTATTCAACATGAGTAGCAAGCATATTAGAATATATGTATTAAAATTGAACAAGATGATTAATTATACAAAGTTCGAAAAAGTTTTTAATAAAATGTTTATCATAAACTTTGCGTCTCTAAAACTTTAACTAATTAAACCACCGTTTTAAATTTAAGTTTTAAAGTTTATTATTTAAATATAAGTTAAAAAATTCACGTGGTTATCAATTTAAAAAACAAGATACAAAAAGAGCATAAAGAACCACATCACAGGTTATAATTTGTGATATTTACTTATTATTATATTAATTAAAACATTAAACGTTTCGGCCACAATCTGGCCATCTTCAGTAATACATACAATAGTCTTCATAAACCGCAAAAATACATTTAGTTGAAATTAAATTCAACAGTCCATTGTTGTAATAAAAATAACATGTTCTTTTTAGTATGAAGATGCTTCGTACAAAATGTTATAACGCCCATAGTCATATCAAGAAGTGTAGAACAAGAATTTCCAGATTCTGATTAAATTAAAATTATATGTCATTAATTTCTCCTAGTCGAATATAAAGAAATATAATCGTTACCTGTTTTACAGCCAAAAAACTGAGCGAAGAATATCAATTTTCCGTGTCACTTTGTTTATTGATACCTCTTATTTGTCTTTTTATGTGTATCATTTCGGAAATTCTTCTTTTTATTAAAGATTGTTCCTTGTCTAAAACTTTTATGTTTTCCCAATCTAACTCATGCATCTCATTCAAACGGTGACGTGAAACCACTGAAACTTCGGAAGGTGATTTTCTTAAATCCGCTTTATGTTCTTTTATCCGAGTCTTTAATTTTCTTTTTGTTTGGCCTACATACGACGATTCACAATTTAAACAATCGATTTTGTAGACAACTCCACATTGGTCATCCCTGGACAAAGAATCTTTCCCCGTCTTAATAAATGCATTCATTTTATTCATAGGTTTGTACGCTATGTTAAAATCATGAACATGAGTGAGAGAACTCTTTTGAACTTTTCCGACACTTTGCTCAAATACGGCACCACAAGAAATTTCTTTGAATTAACATTAGAATCAATTTCTTTAATTACATTTTTTACTTCTATTTTGTAATGTCTTAATTCTATTTTTTATTGTTGCAAATATAAACTTTAAGGGATAACCGTTACTTAAAAGAATGCGAATTAGTTCCGTGATGTTTTTTTCCTGAAATTTACGATGGGACAAATAGAATTCTGTCCAATTGCCCAATAATAATCCCAATAAATTCCCCTTTTGTGTGTTCACGGATAATTGGAATAATAATTTAAATACCTCCCAGAATTGGTAGGTTTTTTGTACATATCAAAGATGATATATTTCCTTCTTGTTCAATTAACTTAACATCTAGGAAATTTATGCCATTTTTATCGCCACGGTCAACGGTGAATTTAAGCCTTTCGTGATATGAATTAAATAATTCTAAAACTTCCTCAACCTTTTCCTCATGTACCGCTAATACAATGTCATCCACGTAACGAAAATAAAACGATGCCTTAATGTTATTCTTGGTAATAATTTCGTGTTCTAAATCTTGTAAAACAATATTTGCCAGTATCGGAGACAAAGAATTCAGAATTGAGAATGTTCTAACGAAAGTTACGAATTCAGAAAAAATTCATTCAACACACAACAAATGAGTGTGATTGCCCTTATGAACTCTTGCAGAGGAATCGAAGTCTTGCATCCAATAAGTTCCCATCTACGCTCAATACTTTTTACAACTAATTCCGTCGGAATGTTCGTGTACATAGAGACTACATCAAATGATACAATACTGAAATCATCATCGATTACCTTGCCATTAAGTTTAGGTACCAAATCTAGACTATTTTTTACATGACTGAAATTTGTTATGTTATTCTTGTCAATAATGTCTTTTAGGAAGGTCGCCAGTGGATAAAAAGCGCTGTTAATGCAACTAACTATTAATCTTAGAGGATGACCTTCTTTATGGATCTTTGGCAGTCCATAAGCTCTCGGCAGCTCACCATCCGAAACA